CATCAGAGTCGGGGATTCTGTACCTTTCGGGAAATCACGTGAATTGTTCCGCCGATGGAGAGACAAGACAGACGAACGTGAGATTTTCTGACCATTATAATCACCGGCCGGGTGGCATCCGGGGGTTGAGCGAGCGGCTCGCGATCACAAAACTCTACGAGATTGCGAATTCTAATTGTGGTCAGGGGTTAACACATGCCGTCATTTGTCCCGTGTCAATGATTGCTTGTGTTGCAGTCACAACGTCGTGAGAATTTAATAGTTTTATATTTTTTATTATTTAATTGTTTCCCTTCTACGTGACTTTACCGAAAGAACCAAGAATATGAATCCCTGCAGTCACGAAAGCTTTAATTTAAAAATGTAACCGCATACATTTGCTAAATCGCTGTCCATTTTCTACCCGCTGCAAGATGACCGAGATCGCCTGTACCTCCGAAGCCACTGCGATCCCACTCCCACTGCGCTTGCGACGTCCTGGCCCTCGGCACGGACTCCACGCTTCTCTCTTCAACCTCTGACGGAGCTTTCCTCTCTTACCCGCGTGAGCAGCTTCAGCTCTCCGTGGCTGTAGATGTGAATCGAGCGGACCGGACTTCACATCAAACAGTCTCTCTCCCCCACCACACCACACCACGCCCGCCACCACCACCACCACCCACCCACCACGACCCCCAAGTCAGTGAGCTCACAGGGAAGGCTCCTTGTAGCCGGGCGAGCAGATGCCTGCCTCGTGTGATGAGATGTTCACACAGCGGCATGGCTCGAGTTAGTCGTTTCACGTGCGGCGCTGGCTCAGCCCCCCGTTACCCTCGAACCCTCTCGGATGTTTTGATGCCGTGTGGCCTCGTTCTGGGACTAGATTGACGTCACTCTGGTCTCGGGAAGTGGGGTGTTTTTCTTTTCCATGTGTTTTTCTTTTAACAGAGCTGCATTGAGCATACATAGCCACGTGTTTTTTTTTGGGATTCTTTATGTTTAGCGTGCAATAGTAAAATCATTCCTCTGTCAAGTCACTGTTGGATGAAGGCCTCCCCATGCCGTATCAGTCACTGGGAGGGGGTGGGGGTTCTTTGACCATACTTCACCTTTGCTGGTCGGTGTCGGTGGGCAAATTTGACGTTGGAGGGAGGCCCAGTCCCGGGTAAGATGTCAATGTCACAGATGTTAGCCGTGGATGGCCGGACCCTTAAACCTCACAAGCTCAGCGAGGTTGGGAGTTTCATAACTCTCTCTGCGTGGTCCACCAACCCTTGCCTCAGAAGCGTACTCTATATGATTAATACTCTTGAATGACATATGCACATTTTAACATACTTTGCGATTTTGTAATTGAGAAATGAAATGAATATACCCGTCATATTTTTTTATACAGTTTTCTTTTAAAAGTATACATTTCACAGATTTGTTAGGGTATTTCGCGCGCGTGTTCCTTGGACGCTTATGCGTTGTGTGTTCTACACGCATTTACCCTAGGACTGACTCCATTTGCTCTGTCAAGTATCTCCCACGCAATAGTTCCTGCCATCAATTTTCATTTCCTCCATGAACCCGTGACCCCCCTCCCCCCTATCCCCCCCACCGCCAACATCTCCCCTCTCATTTCGCTTGACTCCCCTTCACGTGCCCTCTGCTCCAGCAACCAAGGTCCCTCTGTAAGTCGACCTTCACTCAATGGGGAGGTCGACTCCTTATCCCCTGCTGCCCCTGCAGTTTGAAACTACCCCCCTCCCCCAGCCCCCCGTGCTGTTGACTCCCTGCTCCTGTTTTAGTCTCTCCACTGCTGCCTATCACTGCCTGTTCTCTTTAAACGTTGATATGTAGAACGTGTGCTCCTCCTTTTCCCCCAATAGGCATGGCCCACTGTTCCGGTTGAGCAACTTGAAATGCAATTGCATTTGGATGCTCCATAAACCCAAATTGTCTCCGTGAGGCCGAAAGTAATCAAGGGAAATAGTATCTGAGCGCTCCAGCCGGGTCTAGATTCAGTTTGACGGGGGGGCTTGTATCATTTTCGGGCCCTCTCTGTACATTCAATTCTTGTCCTTGACTGTTCCACCACCAGACATGCTGCGCGATGCCAAATGCTCCTCTGCTATTCACCTTGGTTATTTTATCTCTGGTTTTTTATTACGTGATGCGTGACTTTTTAAGTGAAATCTCTGTTATAACAAAGTAAACGCATTTCATTTTCGCCATGTAATCGGTAGTAATACACACGGTGATCCTATGGCTTTAATTATCAAATTACACTCACGGGGTTTGTCACAGTGCTACAGTCTTGCGTTTCCCAGGTCAATCTTGCAAACGAGACTATGCTGGTCTCTTGTTGTTCTCACCTGATTAAACAAGACGAACTTAAACCATTATGAGGCTCTTTTTTTTTTTTATATTTTTGGGGAGGGCTTTCTAAATCCAGGTCCCGGGCTACAGCCCCCAAAGGCCCCGGAGTTAATCCAGCCCTGCCCTGTGACCAACATTTGGGACAAATGCTTCGGTCTTAATTTAAAATAAAAAAAACACACAGGATACGGTGACCTGGGGAGTATTGCGAATTTTTTTTTCTGGCACTGAACTGCACCCTAGACTCGGGGGCAAGAAGTGGAATTCACTCGAACAAACGTGGCCCCAACTAGGGGAAAAGTGCTCGTGAAATATTCTCCGTTTGGCACACCGAGCTCAAACTGTTTCCAGAGCTCGAGTATTTTATTTATTCGGGAGCGTTTGGCATGGAAATATCCCACACGCACAGACGTCACAAGCCGTGCGCAGACAGGGGGCATTCATTAAAATAAATATGCTCTTATGGTTTTACACGCGAGACTAATCCTGCCCGGGCAATAACATGACTACTAAATTACCTTTCAGTGGAAATTCCCACAGTGACGCCCAAGATAGCGGGATGGGCTGTGAGTCAAAACTGGATCAAACCAGGCTGCCCGCTTTAGAAAACTCGATACGTTCGTAATTGAATGGTCTTCAAGAGGGAAACATACATAAAAGGAGACATTTGGGCAATGGCTGTCTTTCACAGCACACTTTCTTCAACATGATGGGCAATTGCCAATTATATTTTTTTTCATTTTAAGACCGCAGTGTTGTTGACAAATATATTGAGTTTTTGTTTATGAATTATCATTATTATTTGTGCGTGTGCACCACTGCCGACGCAGTATCAACCAAATCATTGAACTCCATTCAGACTCCTCACTTAGCCTGGTACCCACTATAACCCCACCCACCTTCCTCATGGATTCTCCCAAAATTGAATGCTTCTCACGAGCCATGATGGTGCAATTATTGTGTCCACATCCACGCACGCACGCTGCTGAGAAACGAATCGCTGGGGAGCTGGAAGTCACATGACGAGGCCACATGTACCGGCATTTTTTTGGGGTTGCATAACTGAACGTCTAACGAGACCTGTACATTTTCGCTGGGAAAAGGCTGAATTGTCCCAAGAGGAAATGAGGAATGATTTGACTCATTTTATCCCCTCTTGGAAACCACAGGGAAAAAAAAATCCATTTAGCGCGGCAGTGGGTTTAATTTTAGCGCGGGTCAGCGGAGGCCACGGTCATTTTCTCTAGAATATTCACAACCATTGCCCCTGGTATTTACAGTGCCCTCCTCAGTGGCTAATCGTGCAGTTCCTTAACCAGAATGTGGATTCACTTATCATCCAATCAAAAACTGAGTGGGATGTTTTTGCAAGCCTTGGAATGCCTGCATGTTATGGAAAGAGTGAATGCGGCGTGTGTGGGATGTTTGCCAAGACAATGTGGGCCACATTTGACCACAGATTAAAAGGGAAAAAAATAGACATACAGTGGTAAACGTTGGTAAGAAATACGCATGACTTAGCAAGATTGGCACGCAGTTAAGTGAAAAAAACTCCCAGAAACATTGCATTGTACGGGCTGCCTCTCACTAACACAGAGTTTCTGGCAATGAGTGATTGAAACAAGATTTGTTTAATGTGTTATTCAGTGATACTTAATCTCACGGGCAGATACAATCAGGATAACCTAATGTTTTCTAGATAACAGCAGCTCTCCAAATAATCACAACATACACTCAATGATTTCACTTGGGACTGCGTGAATTCCATAATCACCGGTAGTTTAATAACTCTTCATCATTTTTCGAATTGACGTCTGAATTTCAGTCGCTGGTGGTGGCTGTCTGACATTTTCTGTTCGGAGAATTCTTTAAAGAAAAACTGAAACTAAAATATTTTTTCATTCAATATGAAATCGACCAATACGTTTTAAAGTTGTAACGCGCCGAGGAGAAAGGACGACTTAGAGGGTGCGACGAGGAACCACAGATAAGCAGTGAGACGGCAGCCAGGCGCTGAGTAAGCGCCTGGCCGCCTGGCTGCCGTCCCCAAGCTCTGCGGTCCTCTCTATATATATTAAGGGGTTACCGGCCCATTACTGAGTGTTTACACGAGTGGGAGGAAACCGGAGCACCTGGAGCAATCCCACGCGTGAGAGAGGGGCAACGCTCTATCCCATGCAGACGAAACAGGTGGAGTCCACGTTTTCCACTACTGCCTTTTGGCGAGCAAGGGTATGGCACCTCGAGCCCCACGCGAAGGAGGTTTGACAAACATTCGTGCCATTCACAAAGCCTCATATCTCACGATAACGATGTGTCATGTCACGTCACATCAGACCTGAACAGAGGGAGTTCACATTTTGTTGTACCACCTTCTCTGGGCGAGCCAGGGTTATGGCTCCTCGACGCCCACGGGAAGGGAGTTTCGCACCATCTGTGCGGTGATCCACCAACCCCTCGCTGCTTCCGCAGCGCTGGATCACAGGGCACGTGCGTGGTCACCACCGCTCGGGACGAGCTCCCCCTTTATATATATAAAACAAAAATGTTCCAACAAAACTGTTTTGCTCTGCGTTGAGACAATGCTCTCTGTGTGGCAAACGCAAACAGGTGTGCACAGCAGCCTCGACGACGCCCCTAACCCTGATCCGACTCACCTTTCGAGTGGCGGACAAGCGAATTCTGGGTTGTCAAAACGGGCAGCTGGTTGCTATTGTCGGGGGCTCTGTTGTCCTCGTTGTGGCTCGCCCTCCGTCCCACGTGTTTCTTCTGACGGCCACTGCGGGCGCCGATCGAACCACCACCATCCACCCACTAAGGAGTGCCCGCTCTCTACGCAGTTAGCGGTCACCGCCTCGACCGCGCACGCGTGGCCGGCTCCCCCGAGATAGCAGCTGTCCCCGCGGAGCCGAAGGAGCCCTTGCTCTTGTAGAGCCCGACAATTCAGCCTCCCCCCCCTCCTCGAAGTGTGCAACACGCACGCTTCGAGGAGGGTAAATTTGGTTAACTAAATGTAACGCCCACGCGATACCCCAAAGGAAACCAAAACATAAATGTGGTATTCGAAGCGGATTGAAGGGCTTTACGGGAAATACAAAAGAAAAATGCCGTGTCTGTCGCCGGCGTTTGCCAAGTACGCAGCCAGAACGCCGTTGCACAATCCCCGCCGGTGCAACGCCTCCGTAATTAATCGCAAATGTTGCTCCGCGCTAGAACCGAAGTCGTTTCCACCGCGCGAGTTTGCTCACAAACCCGCGGGGCGTGCGCACGGAGGACGCGCGCGCCGGGATTGGGGAGGTGAGACCAGGGCCGGTTGAATGCCCGGGGGGCTCTAGGGGCTGCAGCCCAGGGGGCCTCCGCCAGCTGGAAGGGCCCCCAGAGATTCGGTTAACAGTAATTTCACTTGTGAATGCTGATATGTATTTGTTAGCTTTTTTCGAAATACATTTCATTTTTCTTTAACGTTGTTTTCCTTTTGAAAATATTACTGGGGGGTGGGGGGGTGGTGCCTCACAGTACCCTGTAGCCCAGAGGGCCTAGACAATCTTGTAGCTCAGGAGACCTACAAAATCTGTAGCTCAGGGGACCTACAAAATCTTGTAGCTCAGGGAACCTACAAAATCATGTAGCCCAGGTGGCCTACAAAATCTTGTAGCCCAGGTGGCCTACAAAATCCTGTAGCTCAGGGGACCTACAAAATCTTGTAGCTCAGGGAACCTACAACATCTTGTAGTCCAGGTGGCCTACAAAATCTTGTATCCCAGGGTGCCTACAAAATCCTGTAGCCCAGGTGGCCTACAAAATCTTGTAGCGCAGGGGACCTACAAAATCATGTAGCTCAGGGGACCTACAAAATATTGTAGCCCAGGAGACCTACAAAATCCTGTAGCCCAGGTGGCCTACAAAATCCTGTAGCCCAGGGGACTTACAAAATATTGTAGCCCAGGTGGCCTACAAAATCTTGTAGCCCAGGGGACCTACAAAATCTTGTAGCCCAGGGGACCTACAGAATCCTGTAGCCCAGGGGACTTACAAAATCTTGTATCCCAGGTGGCCTACAAAATCTTGTAGCCCAGGGTGCCTACAAAATCTTGTAGCCCAGGGTGCCTACAAAATCTTGTAGCCCAGGGGACCTACAAAATCTTGTAGCCGAGGGGACTTACAAAATCCTGTAGCCCAGGTGGCCTACAAAATCTTGCAGCGCAGGGGACCTACAAAATCTTGTAGCCCAGGTGGCCTACAAAATCTTGTAGCCGAGGGGACTTACAAAATCTTGTAGCCGAGGGGACTTACAAAATCCTGTAGCCCAGGTGGCCTACAAAATCTTGTAGCCCAGGGTGCCTACAAAATCTTGTAGCCCAGGGTGCCTACAAAATCTTGTAGCCCAGGGGACCTACAAAATCTTGTAGCCGAGGGGACTTACAAAATCCTGTAGCCCAGGTGGCCTACAAAATCTTGCAGCGCAGGGGACCTACAAAATCTTGTAGCCCAGGTGGCCTACAAAATCTTGTAGCCGAGGGGACTTACAAAATCTTGTAGCCCGGGGGACCTACAAAATCTTGTAGCCCAGGTGGCCTACAAAATCTTGTAGCCCAGGGTGCCTACGAAATCTTAATCCGGCCCTGTGTGTGTGGGGGAGTGGGTGGGCTACCGCGCGATTGTCGTTCGCCGCATCTGCCGCTTCTGACCTTAACGGCGGCCAGACGACAATGCTCAACGCCGGGAAGGCGGGGCGAGCTTCGACCACCACGGATCAGGTGCGGAGTCGCGGCGCGCCTTGCGGGGTGGCGGGGTGGGGTGGGGGTGGGGGTTCTGCTTCTTTGTGGCCGTGAAGCTTCGCCAGGTCGAGCCTCGGGCAGGCAGTGAAACGTCTACGGCGGACACCGGCGCGTCGCCCAATTCTCGACCGATCAATAGTTAGGGGGTGACAGTTTGAGTCGGATGTATCAGACTGGGCGAGCCAAACGCCTAGCAGCATGACATTGAGCTGTCGCGACGGAAATAGGAGGACCGCTTCACAATTCTGGCTAATCGGCTGATGAGGCTGGTTGTAATCACCATCGAAACGTCGTACACGAATTGCAAATGTTGTGCGTTTACTCTCCAACACACGGGTGTGCTGAAGTAGTAACCTGATGGCACGTTTTGTTTACTCGACAAACGTAAATGGCTAACCTTATATTTACACAACCTAACCCAAACAAGCAGATAAGGCCCACTGAGATATAAAGCTCTTTTTCAGAAGCAACTATGCATCGATTAATCGATTAAAGTCAATTCTTACACTCGCGCTACATGCATCGAATGAATGTCCTTGAATTCGATCATCTTATCTTATATCGATTTACATAGCGCAGATGATGATGGCGATGATGTCATTCGATGAACACTCCTATAATTTAGAACAAATCTTTGTTATTTTGCCAGGTAAGGCAATATAAAAAAAATGTAGCTCTGTTCAGAAGCTGCCTGGCCACAAATGAAGGCTCTACGAAGTGGCTTATCGCGTGGAAATGTGCGGCAGACAAATATGTACGAGCGTCATCCCTTTGTCTGCGAGGCGTCTGCCCTGGTGTTGGGGACACGTAACCGATGCGAGAGCTCCAGGTGTCTGCCAGGATCGCAGGTGCTGTTCGTTTTCAATGCTTCCGTCACGTCGAAGATAACTTCAAGACAACTCAATAGAGCACAAGGGCGTTCCGGTTTCTGGCATGCACTTCACCTTATCCCAAGTGTTCGACCGTACAACTCAAGGTTCGCCCTAATTATAGGCAACTATTAATAACGGACAATACCTCTGCGGATGCCCTGTTTATTGGTGTGATCGTGGTGGATAGCATCTCACCCAGACACCCTCAGTGCTCTGCACGTCGATGATGAGACCGACGTGTATGATAATGACAATAATTGTTACGACGATGATTATGATGGCGATAATGATGTTAGTTGCACCGATGATAGTGGTCAATGACGACTTTGAAGAAGATGATGCTGGTCAATGACGATTCTTATCATCATCATCAAGCCACAGTGGTGTGTAATCATGGTCAGCACACTGGGCTTGCATTCCAGAGGTCGCCGGTTCAATCTCCCAAGCGCGACAGTTGAAACAATGGAGCAGGATGATCCACCCCACGCCCGACCACCACCCTACCACTCCACCACACCCACCACCCCACCACCACCACCCCACCACCACCACCCCACCCCACCAGGTGTGTGCGTGCCCAGGTGAGTGTGTACGTGCCCAGGTGAGTGTGTGTGCGTGCCCAGGTGAGTGTGTGCGTGCCCAGGTGAGTGTGTGTGCGTGCCCAGGTGAGTGTGCGTGCCCAGGTGAGTGTGGGCCCAGGTGAGTGTGCGCCCAGGTGAGTGTGAGTGTGGGCCCAGGTGAGTGTGAGTGCGGGCCCAGGTGAATGAGTGCGGGCCCAGGTGAATGAGTGTGCGCCCAGGTGAATGTGAGTGTAGGCTCAGGTGAGTGTGAGTGTGCGTGCCCAAGTGAGTGTGAGTGTGCGCCCAGGTGAATGAGTGTGCGCCCAGGGGAGTGAGCAGATGGAACCTCCCCCCCTCCCATCCTCCCCTGTTCAGTTTCCGACTCTCTCGAAGTCAAACAATTCCGAGACTCAGAGACAAGGATCCTACGTGTAGCCTTAACAGAGTTCTGTTAGCGAGCACCTATTGAGGTCGGCACGGCACACGAGGGGGTGGGTTGCGAGCACCACGCCAAGCCGCCTTTGTCTCCCCAATGGCGTTGTTTACACAACGCACCAGGTACTCATGTTGGTGTGAGCGGGAATCGAACTCGGGTCGCCTGATTCGTAGCACAGCGCGCTGACCACTACACCACCGCTCCCTTCAGTGACTCACACCTTTCCTTACGCAATCCAGCCATGGCGGAGATAACACGGCACGAGGCTCGGAATGGTAAACGCGTGGGGGTTGGTGCCAACATTTTTCCAATATCAACAAAAACAACAACAATCGTCATTCGCCACTAAGTGGCGGTGATGTCACCACGGCGCTTGTGCCAGGCTATGTGCACGTTGAGGCAACGTGAAGTGTCGAACGCCCGCTGGCAGGAGGTCACGGGGAAAACCCAGGTATCATGGGTCGACTGACTGAGACGACTGGCCGATGCACCACCTGTGCCCCATACTGTGTAAACTTGCTGTGCTTTATCCACCCGGCGCTCCGCTCGTTGTTGTGAGCGTCACTCCTCCGCCCTCCGTTGTTGCTGGAGGGCGACTGCCTCCAACTGCCCAGTAGCGTCCTTCACGAGCCTCCTCCACAGAGGCCGATCTTGACACCGCTGGTACCGGTCATCAGCAAGTCCACTCAGCTCCACATCATCCTGTACCACAGCGCTCCATCTCTTCTCTAGCCCGTGCCGCGCCCGTTTTTGCCCCCTCTATCCGGCCGAACAAAAGCTGTTTAGGCATACGGTGGACATGACCCAACCAACGCAGCCTTGCCTGCAGGAGGAACTCATCGATGGGACTTTGTCCAGATCTTTCAAGGATTCGTGAGCTCCTTACACAATCCAACCTGTTTAAACCCAAGAGGGATCGTCGGTAGGCCAGCCTAAACGTTTCTAACCGGCGAAGATGTTCCATTCGGGGGGTCCACGTTTCGCAAGCATAGAGAAGGGAGGGATTTTTTTTTATCTATCTTCCTGTATTTGTAATCTGACTTCCTGGATCTTTATTCTGACTTCCTGGATGTTGTCCCGAAGATACCTGACACAGTTTTGAGAAGAACAAGAAAAACATCCTACCAAGTAGTATCTAATTGCCAAATTTAGTTTGTGAATTATTGTTCAACTTAATTGGTGCATTGTTAAACGCCTGTACAAGCGACAATTGAATTTGTCTGGCTACATCGGCTGGTGGCGGAGGGTCTTAACCACACACATCGTTCGGCCAGATCGTTACTCCGTGGCCTAACCCGAAACAAATCAACAATGACTCAAGATTATGGAATGCAAGTTTGGTAACGTGATGACGCGCGAAACCACGAAAGTTAAATTCACCAACGATCGCTGTCAGACGACTGTTAATGATCAACACGGTTATACATTACACTTTCGTCGTTACCGAACTAACCTAATGCGGTGGAATGAAAGTAAACATTTACTGTTACTATGTTTAATGCCGTAATTAATAGCTAAACACTTACAGCCGTGTTCGTAAGCCACACAGTTTTTCCTCTTACCGTATTCTCTTGATCAGGGGACGTTTTGAGAAGAAAACAAACTTCAAATGACCCTTTTAATCCTGTTTTAATTCATTGCATACTTGTCAAATTCATTTTTTTTAAATTCTTATAGTTGGAATTTAGCCACATTAAATGCAAAACCAAATGTATTATGAGAGTATTATTTTATTTGGGCGCCGAGGTGGCGAGATGTTAACTACCTCGCCTGGTATGTAGGAGATCGTGGGTTCGATCCCGACCCCGACGCCTGCTCTATATTTGGAGTTTGCGTGTCTCTCTCTCTCTCCCCGTGGTCGCGTGGATTATTCTCCGGGTCCTCCGGTTTTCCCCTCCACATTTAGAAACGTGCGTTTTGAGTATTCGGCTGCGGTAAATTTCCACGTGACGATAAGCCGCTTCGTTGAGCTGTCATTTGTGGCCAGGTCGTTTCCAAAAAGAGCTACGTAGCTCAGTGGCCCTTTACCTGGTAAAAAAAAAATATTTGTTGAGATAATTAAAGGCTACGATTGTTCCCCTGTGTTTTCAAGCAAAAGTTAAGGGGTGCGGCTTAATATCTGGAGAACACATTTGTCTTTCGGAAGATGTGCTCTACTCTACGTGCTCGAAATCATCTCTTCGACCAGAGGACGTTCCTCTACCATCGCAATAGAGGACAGACCCGTAGGACAGAAGTCACCACCAGCCGTTCAGCATCATCTTCCTGAAGACATCTCTCCCGTTTCTCAAACAGCGTCTTCACAATCATCTTCTGGAAGATGTCTCTTCATTCGCAATACCGTATTCCCAACGATACAGGTTTTTTTTGTGTCATTAAACCCACAACCACCCGACACAGACAATTAGTAAGGTTTGTTACGTAAACATAACACGCCAATTCGTTACTAGTACAGCACACCGGTGTGTTGAACAGTAAATCCACAACATTTACCATCTGAGTTACTACGTTTCGCCAGTAATTGCAACTAGCATCATCAGGCTACAGCCAGATTTGTGCAATACCGTATTCTCCCGATCATAAAAAAAAAACTTCGATGAAAATGGGCCCAAATTTTGCAATGCATCTTACTCTCCAGAGCATCTTGTAATGAATCCGCATTAAAACAAATGAGCAGTGTTTGATTTTGTCAAGTGTTTTCTATCTTACTCCGTTGCCAAAGGAAGACCCCTTTGCCTTGGTCCCATCATACAGCAATGAATTATGTTCACAGGCATTCATTCCTTAGGCATTGTCCCTATCCACATCCTGATAAAGACACGAACCATTGTCCCTACGCGTCACGGTTTCCGAGCCACTGGCAATCGCTCACAAAATTCACGATTTCGTCGTCGATGTTGTCTTGAATTCTCGAGTTTGGCCTTTCTTGCCTATCGACATGGCAAGTGCCGGATGAAGATAGTGCGGGGCCTGTAGCACGTGTTATAAAGGGGGCCCTAAATTAAAAAAAACGTAAGTATTAAAACACAACTTTTTAATTGCATAGTAAAGTGATTGTATGTTTTCACTTGCTATACAGCCAGAATTGATAGCTTGAACGCGTTTAGCGCGGGGCCCTTGAAAGTGCGGGGCCCGTAGCTACTACATGTGTAGTAGTAGCTACTACATATGTTGTAGCTACATATGTAGTAGCTACGACACATATGTAGTAGCTACTACACATGTAGCACAAGTAGCGACTACATGTGCAGTAGCTACTTGTGCTACATATGTAGCCGCTTGTGCTACTGGGGTAATCCAGCAACTGGACATGGCCAATGCCAGAAAACATTAACGCTAAAATGGAAACTGGGGGCAGAGGTGTGTTGAACGGTTGATATGTACTGCATGCAAACACACGCACATACATATAGCCTGTGAGGTTTGTGGGGTTATTGTGTGTTTATCTTGGCGCCCTGACAAGAGATGAGTATGATTACACTCGGGGAGGCGGTAGTGTAGTAGCGGTTAGCGCTACGCTGCGCTACGAACCTGGCGACCCGAGTTCGATTCCTGTTCACGGCCAACATCGGTGACGATTATCTGAACCGGTCCTGGGCCTCGCCTAGGTCGACTCAGCCTCAAATGAGTACTTGGTGCGCATGCGTAAAAAAAACATCGCCACTAGGGAGACAAAGGCGGCCGGGCGTTGTGCTGGCCACCCACCCCCTCGTGTGCAGTTCTGGCCTTCATAGATGCTCGCTAACAGCACTTGCCCCAACAGTCTGTTACAGGCTACACGAGGGATATTTGTCTTTGGTAAAGACCCACTTGGGTGTGAGCTAAAGCTCCCCTGAAACTTGACGTGCCCAGTTGGGCCGCACGGGGTTAAAGTGCGCGCGGAGCCGAGAGGCTGGGTTTTTAATACAGGTTACAGCCGCCCGTGATTAAATACTCGGGTTCTGAAGGAAAGCGAGTTCTATTAATCGTCGTCAGCCGAGTCGCCGAATGATAACGCGGTAAACAAGATAAAGATGTGAGCCGTCAAAACCAATCCATGAAGGGAGTCTCCGAGGGTTCTAAAGTCGAGCGGGTTGATCGCTATCAACCGATGCTTCTGTTGTTGTGGAGTAACTCATGCAGTCAGCTTTGGCTCTAGGATTTGGTGTTACATGTTATTTATGTAGTTTCTTGTAAAAATTCGGTCACAGTCCCAGCGATCACTGTTACGTTGCAATTATGGCTTTATTTTTTGGTGATTTCGAAAACGTTTTTTTTGTTTGGACATGTTTGTTTTGTTGTAGTACGGAGTTAGACTGATGGCCTTAATCTAAGTTTTCTTGTGGTTGTTGTTGTTGTTGTTTGACTTGCATCCCACTGGGATTTTTTACACACAGCATTGGTGCACGGTGCTTTTTTCAGGAATATTTTGCTGTTTTTTTCATGGATTTTCTGTTTGCACAGTCACATAGTCA